AATGATCTGGTTGGTTGAAGGTTGAGCAAAAGGGAGATCTTTTTCGGTGTTAATAGAAGACTTATGGTTGTTGAAACGTTCTCTAAAAATCTTTTGGATCTGTCCTACATACTGGTGATTGCATATTTGACACTGTATAAAGTAAATTGTATTTTGTGTTGTGCAAGTAATTTCTTTAGTTGTGCTTGTCAGAAAAAGAATCAATGGCTTTTTATGAAGGTGCTGGTTTGACAGCGAGTTTTATTACATGGATGACAACCATTCTTCGGTAGGGTGTAATTCACTTTTACATGATCAAGGATATCTTCTAGACTTTTGCTTTTCCGGAGAGAGAGACAACAGGAACTTCAACAAATTCTTAAAAACCAATGAATCTTTTTTTCTGACAAGCACAACCAGAGGAACTTACATCTTTTTATTTATTGTTATAAAAGTAACTAAGATGTAAAAAAATAAAAACATTAACATTATTTATGATAGCACACACACACACGTTGTAAGGGTAATTGTGTAATTCAACGAGTATGTTGGTAACTGGATAATTTGTTTCATAAATTTGTCACACTCTGGTAATACCTATCGCCATACTCTGACAGGGTCTAAAGTACAGCTGTAAAGAAACAATAAATTAGCACAATTCTCACACTTTTGTAAAGTATTAGCTTCGGCTGTAAGAATGAATAGTGTGTAACTATCTGTTACAATGTATAGTCATTCTAGAAATAAAAAATGGTAACTTAGGTATATTTTGTGTTTTGCAGCTTTAAATTTTTCCCAGATTACTAATTTTGCTACACTAAGTGTTAGGATAGAGAAAATAACATATAATATATAAAGTTTTTCATTTGACATTCATTTAGGAAGTTCTAGAAGTTATGCAAATTAAATTTGAAAACTGAAGATAAAAAATGTGTCTTTATTCTTAACATGAAAATCACCTTGCACTTGTACTGAATCAGTAAAGGCTTTGGTAACTTCAATGACAAATCTTTAGTAAAAATACTAATTACGAAAAATATTTTTTCGTGTACAACAGACTAGATACTGAAGATGCAAGCCAAGTTCTTTCAGTGTAGACATCAGAAGGTCGAAGAGCATCTTTCCAGAGCCAGCAGAGGGCCGCCGGCTCTCGTTCTCATTGTGAGGATCAGGTTGATCGATAGGCTTGTTTGAACTATACTTGGTCAAATCTTAACGAAGTCTGACTAAGTGATAGTTAGCGTAGTAGCCTGAATACTATATAAGAACTTGCTAGGGTTATTTGGACTTATTTACGAGATGATCAGATTTCTTCAAGAGCGTGTCTCATTTCCGGTGCAACACGTTTGGAAACGAGGGTGGTATGTAAAAAAGGCTTGAAGAAACGCTGAAAAGACAGAATGAAAACTTCTTGAATACTCTGAGATCAACGAAAGCTGTATAGTGTCGAGAAAAATATGTTGTATCAGACTTTAGTAACTAAGAATAAAATCCAATGAGTTTGTTTATCCCTGCATACACCTACCTAAGACATATTGAAATTTGTCCCGTTTCACTTATGTCTGCAGTTTTATCCACTATAACACAAAAGGCCTCGCTATGTGTGTCTTCATTTTTTATTTGTGTCATTACGTGATACAATATTAACTTGACGATCTCATTCTATATAGCTGGAGACATACATTAAAAATATTTTAGCTATGGTAGGTTATTTATCGTTGGTACAATTGGTCTACAAAGATTCCTCAATTTATATCAGAGTCTTCAACGACTTAATTTCTTGATTCCACATGCCCTCTGAGAGGGTTTTGGTTTTTCTGCAAACATTTGTTTTAATTGTCACTTGCAAGTATTTTCTGTGACTTTCTACTTGTTGTTTATGTTCACTGTAAACAGCTTGCAGTACAGATTTTTTTTGTTTTTGCATAGTTTTGTACAATAATTAGTTGGTCATTGATTTCACATGCTTTTCACTGTGAGTTTTTTCTGGAGTTTTTCAGATGATTTCCAGTTGGTGAACGAAAAGGGGCTGTTACTACTAAATTTTCTACATGTAAAACAAACAGCCTCAACATTTGATGTATCATATGATAGCCAAGGATACTTATTAAACCATTGAGGCTGAAAAGAACATTCGTATGGATTATTTGTGAATTTGCTCTTAGGAAAATTCTGATAAAATTGACTGATTAAGTGCCATTATTGACTTAATATTTACAATTTTAGGAGTGCCAACAACTTCTGTAGTATTTGTCAATGATAGGATGTGTAATTTTGGAAACTTTGGGGGGTCATAAAAGGCTGCATAATTTAACACTTGAGGATTATTTGGTAAATTAAGATAATTGGAAAATGTGTCTGGAGGTCGTAGTTTAGCTGAAGAAAACAAATTGATCAGAGAATTGTCCTCAACCTTCTCTGCTGATGCTGGTTTAGAGAAGAATCGACTCAGTTGCAATTAATTTCTCCTGACAGTATGGGAAAATGTTGCTGTTACCCCAAGATGAGCTTTGAGAGTTTGTGTTTCCTTGTAGTCTAAGTCAAGTTCCTTTTTTTCGGACATTGAAGCTGACTCTATATTTGTACAATATTTTATGTAGATGAGAGGTTAACATTTTGAAATGTGTGGTAGTAGAAATTTACTCTCATTAATAATAGATGGACAGTTTTGTGTATTAATCTGGATTCTAGAGGTAGAAGAAAATATAAAAAAGTAGCACATTCAATCACATGAGGAAGAATGTACGATTTAGAAATCAAGAATAATATATGTCTGTTAAAATTACTTTTTTAATTTTTAAAAGATGCTAAAAGTACATTTTATTCCTTTTTTCAACAGGCTAGAGGCTGGTTTTGTTTATGTTCACGAAAAATTTTATCGTTATTAAATGTTATAAGCTATGACATTTAACATTGGTGCTTTGTTTGTTTTTGAATTTTGCACAAGTTACACGAGGGCCATCTGCACTAGCCGTCCCATCACCACCCACTGCCAACTCTTGGGCTACTCTTTTACCAACGAATAGTGGGATTGACCTTCACTTTATAACGCCCCCACGGCTGAACGGGAGAGCACGTTTGGTGTGTGACGGGGATTTGAACCCGCGACCCTCAGATTGCGAGTCGACCACCTTAACCACCTGGCCACGCTTAGAATATTATGTATGCTTTACTCAGTCCACTTTCTCTTTTAACATATACACGACTGTTTCAGTTTAAATTGAATGATTTAGATAGTTATGTAGTGCGAGTTTTAAATTTAGTTATTTTTAGAAGTGACAGTTTATTGCAAGCTTGTTTACGTAATTGTTTCTGAATCATACATTGTGTACTTCACTTGTTGAGTGTTGGCGATTGCTGTATTGTTGTATGATGTTACTAGAACATTCTGAATATTTCTCATTGTTTTAATTGAGTATTATTGCATCATAATATCTAGTAGTGTGTAGAATATTCTAGACCTCAGTCGGGTATAAATACGCATCGGAAATGTAGGTCGATAGTTAGATCTGGACTGTGTGATTGTGAATTTAACCATAAAGATCATATAGTGGCAATTATCACAGACTGTATTGTAATAACAAAGCAGAGAAGAAGAATTCGTATTGTCAATTGTGTTCTAAAGTAATTGAACCAGTAATTGAATCTTTGTGGATTTTGATGAAAAAGAGACAATTATTTGAAGTTCTGGATACAACTGTGATAATCAACAGTGTAAGGAACATTTGTATATACGTTTGACTTGTTTTAATACATTATTTTAAAACAAGCTGACTATGCGCTCTTTGTTTATTGTTGAAATTTATCGCCAACAAGTCACAAACAACTACTGTAAAGAATCCAGCCCATACACAAAATTCGACATTTTTTGAAACTCAGACAGAAACAGGGCATGCGAGAGAAAGGGGATATAGATATCATAATATGATTATATGATAATAAATGTTTAATTTTAGTAAGATTTTCTAAAAAAACATGAAATTTCGTTAAACTCTGTGAGCGAAGCTGTTTAAAGTGTATTTAAAATGAAGAACAGAAAAATTTACTCCCAAGTTATTTCAGATAAAATCATAATTTTGTGACTTCCAGTTGTATACAATTAATATCTCATTTGCAAATAGAAAATCACTATCGTAATAAGATGCGGTGACAATTGGTATCTCAAATATAAATGGAAAATCACTTTTATTATGATAATAGCCCGTAATAAGATCAAAATAGTTATAATAGTTAAATTCTATAATTTTCTTGTGATTATGTGTAGCAAAAACATTGAACCATAAAAAAAGGATAGCTGCTCATCCCCTGATTATAAAACTGGTGAGAAAGCACAAATAAAGCTCTCTCCCTAGTTATGCAATTATAAGTTAGAAACACAACACGATGTAAAAAACGACATTTTCATGTTTTTTAGTATTTAAGCGGCCAATCAGTTGGTGGTAAGTGCTACTAGTCCGTTACCTTCCTTCTAGACAGCATTTCAAAATTAATGACATTGGCAGATAGCTTTAGTAGCTTTGCAATAATAAAGACAGGACAAGTAAATTTAGTGACAATGGGAATTAAATGCCCAGATCCTCAAATCAAGAAGTATCTTCCCTCCTGCCAATTATGTAGCTATGTTCTTAACACCAAAAATATTATGGTAATGTTCTGATTACTTGAATATTTGGAATAATATGAAACAGTAAACAATCTAAAACCCTAACTTTGATTAGTTGATGACAATTGATTTAATCATAATTTCAATTAGTTGAGTATCTTTGTAATATATTGTTTATTTTATGGGACAATAATCGATGCAACTGCTGCCTATAAAAAATCGATTACGTTATCAAATTCTACTCTGTAATATTGTCAGATTACCATGATTTCCCTCAGGGCAGCCTTCAGGAATCACAAAAGCAAGAATAATCGTCAGACAAGAATAATATTGCAGAGCAGTGCCATATTTTCTCTTCCTTTGACTGAGTCTTAACGAAAAGAAAAAGACTGGACATTGGATTGTAATCAATCAGTCATTATTACACAAAGACCATCCAATCAACATGAAGTTTAGATACTTGGACGAACGTCCTTTAGGTGTGTTGAACCATTCTTTAATGTTGTATAAGCAAGTACAAGTTTCTAGGAGAAAACCAGAGGGTCTAGACCCTCCCTCCATCCATTTTTGTTCCAGAAATTAATAATTGTATTTTTGGTGTTGTTTAAGCAGACACGGATCTAGTGGAGGGATCCAGAGGGGCAAATCACCCAAATATTTTTTCAGAAATTAATAGTTATAAAATTCAATGTTGTAAAGGAGGCACAGATTTAGGAAGGGGTTCCAAGGGGGTCAAAACCCTCACCCTACCCCTTCCACCTTTTTTTTTCAGAAACTAATAATTGTATTTATTACAAAATATAGGCAAAACAACATTTAAATTACACAATATTTTTTATTAAAAATGACTCTACATGTTTTGGTAGCTTCTGCTACCATCATCAGGAGTAAAAAATCTATGCGAACAGCAGGTGTTTTATACAAGAATGGCCAGACTCACTGTAATTCACGAGGGTGACATGGAATACTGCACAAATGAAGTCAATATTTCTCTTCAAAATTCGGTACTATTGCTAGCCAACCCTTCAGCTCTATTTAACAAATGACTATTTAACTTACAACTCATAATTTCAATATATTCTCTGATACTAAACTCATTTATTGTATTGGATTCATTTAAAATTGTTTTATGCCACTGTATTGAATGTCATATTTCTGCAACGTGTTCGGCCAGCGGAGAAATTAACATCCTTTTGTACTGAATTTGAAGTTCACAGCAATCCAGTCTCAGTATCAAAAAATACCTGCTTATTTCTAAACGAACAAAACAATACAAACATCAATTAAATGTTGCTATGGTAATATTTAGTACCTTGGCTTATTCCAGACGCTAAAATTATGTTTGACGTCTGAGAAAGCTGAAGCAGATTTCACCTCTGATTTTGAATGGAATAGTGAAGGAGAAGTTGGACTACTTTATTAGGCAGCCCAGTGCTTGAAATGGATGGACTATGGAGCGATGGATGCAAGACACAAGTCTGAGTTTGAATGATCAAGCCATTCTTTGAGTCGCAGTTAAAAAAGTATTAATGTTACTATGACAAGAAAATGTTTACTTTTTACCGAGTTGAAACAAATAACTTGAGTATTGGCATAAGTAGGTGAAAAAGCTTACTTTACCTAATAAAAAGTTTGAACATTTACATTACTGTTTCAGATATGTAGTTAAGCAGTCGTCAATAGTTAGGCTACATCAGTAAACAAAGAGGAAATGTTAATCTGTATCTTTTCCCTCCAATTTCTAAAAGCTTCGTCTGCAAAATAAAGTCTCTCTGTGTTAGCGTTATGCTGCAATGGAGCCTTATAACATCTTTGAAATGATCATGCAACAGTGGTGAAATTGACTATAGTTTTTGTGTAATTTGTTAAGAAATCAAGAATGATACACTCTTTAGTAGTTCTGAAAAAGGCCTAG